AAGAAAAAGAAAGAAGGAAAGAAAGAAAGAAAGAAAGAAAGAAAGAAAGAAAGAAAGAAAGAAAGAAAGAAAGAAAGAAAGAAAGGCAATGCTTTTGACTCCGAAAAATTAGGGCCTGTATCCCTTCCACATATCCCATAGTACCCTGTCCTAATTTCATACTACGTCAGTGGGGTGCCAAGTCTTTGGTATCATGACATTTTCACACTTCTGAAAATTATGAGCCCTTTGGAGTTATGCTGATCTTCCAAACAGTCACACATTTCAAAATACAATTAAAATCGTATTATTAATATCCCCATGGATCTCGTCCAAAAAGTCTTTTAGCTATGCTTTAAAAGAATCATAGAAGGCCACTGGCTTGGAATGAACTCTTGCACTAGATCCCAACAAACCAAACCAAAATGGAGTCATTCATGATAAAGTTCCACCTCACCACACAAAAACCAAGATATTGGACCTTTTCAGAAAGGAGAAAGGGAGATAATAGCCACATCTCCAAACAGGCCTGTTTTAGCTGGTAGGAGAAGGCGGGCTCCTCTGCTTCAAGAACAGTAACCTGATATTCACCAGTCTGCTTTTTATAGTCTTTGTTCTTGCTCATGATACCTAATAAAAACCAACTATTCTGCCATATGGAATGGAAGACCTTTTCTAAATTTTTAGAAGAGATACCACTGCAATTCATGAATCCTTGAAAAAAGCCAATATGATCTTCAAATTAAATTTGTTACAATTTTGTCTTTTAGTCTTTTGACAAACATCCCCCTAAGAGAATACAGTGCTAGGAGGTATTCAACAAATGCATAGGAAAGTGAAAACCCTAATTTGCACCTGAAAGCTCAGATAGGCTCACTGGCAACAAACACTGTCAGTTGTTTTTCTTAAAGTGACAGGTCCTCTGTTCATTTAACAAAATGCCCGCAAAACCCCAAGTCTGCATAACCATGGTTTGTCTTGTTAACCATTCTTTCAAGTAGAAGTAGTTTTCCAAGAAGTGGCCACTTCAGCACAGAGATATGCCATATTTCATTACTGAGTAAGGCACTCTCTACACACTTCTTACTTTTGTCACACACAAAAAATAAAAAGACATTGTCGAGGTTCAAAATTACACAAAGTTGTTATTATATTATTTCATGAAAGATATTTTTAAGTTAAAGTGGAATTTTTCACCATGTGCATTAGTACAGTTTTTTGTTTTGTTTTGTTTTGGTACCGGGGATCAAATTCGGGTCCTTGCACTTGCACAGCAGGTGGTGGAACCACTGAGCTAAATCCCTGGCCCCCATACAGTTTGATACCACTGCCTTTATTTATGTTAAGGCACCAGGAGTTTTTTTGTTTTGTTTTGTTTTGGTACCGCGGATCGAACTCGGGTCCTTGCGCTTTCTCAGTAGGCAGCGAAACCACTGAGCTAAATCCCCAGCCCGGCACCAGGAGTTTTATTCTCAGTGCAAATGTCAACACACCGGAATAAACAAAACACTGATATTATTTTTAAAATAACATTCCTGGGCACAGTGGCATGCACCTGTTGTCCCAGCTACTCAGAAGGCTGAGGAAGGAAGATCACCTGAGCCCAGGAGTTCTAGGCCAGCCTGAGCAACATAGCTAAGACTGTTTCAAAGGCAAAACAAAAAACATAGCATTGACTTTTTGGATCCCTGGAATTCTAGGACCCTGGACCAAACTTTAAGAATCACTGTATCATTAGTCTGTCTACCACACTGGATTAAAACCTCCTTTGCAGGGGACCTCCCTATTGATTATGGCCAAAGCAGGCTGTAAGCAGTGCAGGCTGTAAAGAGTCAACCCCTCAATTGGCTCATTTTAAGAAGCGAGTCTGACTGAAGCTTACATGACTAATACAAGCACCCCATAAGCACTCCGGTAGTGTGCAGGTTAGTATGACCTTCCCGCTAATGGCCACAGCAGAGAGACAAGAAGGACAAGCTTCTAATTACAACTCTTATGTTTTGTTTGTTCTGTTCCTAATTTGAGAATGCTTTGTCCTTTCCTTTATAAGCCTTACCTGCATTAGTATCCATAGCAACTGCATGAATACACATCCTTGCACATAGTTACCCTTTACCCCAATTTGATTATCAATAAAAAGCAGTGACTTGGGCTGATCAGGGGCTTTGCTGATTGCTCAGCAGTGGCTGTCCTGGCTCCCCATTTTTTTCTTAAATTCTGTCTTTGAGTCTTTCTTCAGCCCTGTATCCTACACTGGGCAGGAGACTGGAACCTAATGCAGAGGTCTCCAGTACTCCTTGAGGGCAAAGACTGAGTATTATTCATTGTAATAATTTTAAGTCACCAACATAACATACAGTGTTCAATTAATAAATATAAATCTACTGGCTACAGATAGTGGCCCCCTTCATTCACCTGCACAATTCCTAATAAAGAGTAAACAAGTCCAGGAAAATAAAGTATTAGAGAGCAGAGCAATGAAGAGCTACAGATGTTTTTTAAAATAAAATTGAAGATTCAAAGAAAAGATGCAAATAACAAGAATGAGTTAACTCAGAATGAAAGACTTTGGTACCCATCCTGTCAGAAATGATGAGGATAGCTGGATGTCAAGAGGCCCAGTTCCAACCTGAACTTAAATAGATGCACCTCAAACTCCAATAGGCCCCTTCTCTGTGAAATCCCTGGTTAAAAAGGAGAGGTCTGTGTGACAGAATAGGGACCAACCACAGAGAGATAGGGATAAGAGAAAAAAAGAAAAAATATGCACTCAACAAAAGAATGACATGTATAAGTACTTGACGGTATCTGTTTGCCATTTTCAATCTGTATTTCATTAAATCACATAATAAAGGCCCGGGGATTTAGCTCAGTGGTTCTGGTGCCTGCCTCACAAGCACAATGTCCCAAGTTTGATCCCTGGTACCCCCCCCCCAAAATTCACATAATAAGACATATTCTCTGTTCCTCCACTAGATATATTAAAATTGTTCCCGGAAAAATTGCACACTGAATGGAACGTTATGGGCTCATAAAAACTGTCAGAGCAGAAGAGACAGGAGAGTAAAAGGAAAAAGAAGGAAGGTGGGTACCCAAAATGTAAGCCTTCAAAGGAAACTGCTTCATTTTGATCTCTCTTGTGATGCTATATGGCCTACCAAAGATGGTGACAGTGCTGACCAGCTACAAACCTCCCCAGTTCTCCCAGAAGAGATCATGCTACTCTGATTGGACTGAGACAGCCCCATCAGCAAAGCCAGCACCTTTTCCCTACACCAGGCCATCCTACCGCATGAGGGCCTACCTTGGTAACATGAAGACCATTGTTTGAACCACGAACTGGAGGCAAATGATCTCCTATTCCTGGAAATGTTTCAGGTTCCTGAAAGTGCATTCTAGTTTCTTCAGTTTTAATTTCTGCTACCCAACTCTAAAAAGAATGGGAGAAAAAGAAGGTGAATATACAGTTTGAAATAATTGCCAAGGTGTTAGAAAGAACTGTACATCCATGGGCTGGGGATTTAGCTCAGTGGTTTTGCCGCCTGCTGCGCAAGCGCAAGGACTCGAGTTCGATCCCAGGTACAAAAAAAAAAAGAACTGTACATCCTAGTTTTCTATGAGTCCATTTTTAGGTGACAATTTGATATGCCATTCTCTATCTCTACCCTTTTTAATTGTGGCAAACAAAATAACATAAAAATTGGCCTTTTAGGGGATTTAGCTCAGTGGCACTGCATCTGCCTGGCAAGTACAAGCTCCTGAGTCCAATTTCCCAAACCAAAAAAAAAAAATTGGCTTTCTTAGCCATTTTTAACATACAGTTAGTCTTATTAAGAATATTCACATTGTGGTTGCTTGTCTTACTTACACATGGCTATGCATACTTGTATATGACTTCTCCAAAAGACCAGATGATAAATCTAAATATAAGAGTTAAAACTACAACTTTCTAGGAAAAAACTTGGAAATCATGGGTTGGGCAGAGATTTACCAAATGGAACACAAAGTCCCAAACTATAAAGAAAAAAATAATTTCATCAAAATTTAAAACTTTTGCTCTTCCAAAGACACGGTTAAAAAGAATGGAAAAGGAAGCCACAGAGTACCAGAAAAATATTTGCAAAACATACACCTAATAAAAGACATATTTTCCAAATCAATAATGAAAACACACAAAAAACCATTTTTTTGAAATGGGAAAAGGATTTGAAGACATTTTATATAAGAAGAAACATGGATGGCAAAGAAGCATTATGATATGACACTCAGCATCATTAGTTATTAGAGATACGCAAATTAAAACCACAATGAGATACCATTAACTACCTAGTAGAATGGTTAACAGTAGCAAAACCAGCAATGTTAAATATTGACAAATATATAAAGCAACTGGAAAGTTTATACATTGCTGGCAGGACTGCACAATGGTACAGCCACTTTAGAAAACATTTGACAGCTTGTAAATAAATGAACTGTGGGAAATTTATACAATTCGATACTAAGCAATTCAAAGGAATGAACTATTGACACCTGCAACAACATAGATAATCCGGAAAGCATCATGCTAAGTGAAAGAAGACAGACACAAAAGACAACACACTGTATGATTATATTTTATCTAAAGTCTAGAAAAGGCAAATTTATGGTGGCAAACAGCAGTTCAGTGCTTGCCACAGGCCAAGGTGTGGCATCTGCACTAAAAGGAAACTATTTTTTTGTTTTGTTTTGGTTTTTTGGTACCAGGGATCGAACTCCAGTCCTTGCACTTGAGCAGCAGGCGGTGAAACCACTGAGCTAAATCCCTGTCCATAAAAGGAAACTTTTTGAAGTGATGGAAATATTCTCTATCATATACATTTATTAGAACTCAATGAAATGTACACTGTAAGGTGGGTAATTTTTTTTTCTGGTACTGGGGATTGAATTCAGGACCTAATGCTTGCAAGGCAGGCACGGTGCCACTGAGCTAAATCCCTAGCCCCTAGGTTGGTAATTTTTTTTTTTTTTTTTTTGGTACTGGGGATTGAATTCAGGACCTAATGCTTGCAAGGCAGGCACGGTGCCACTGAGCTAAATCCCTAGCCCCTAGGTTGGTAATTTTTTTTT